TGGCGCTGGGGTGGTTATTTCTTTAAACGACTAGCCACCTAGCCTCCATGAAGAGTCTTTTAGAAAGCAGACCATTTTCTGACGTTCTATTTTCTGTAACTGCTCTTGAAGAGGAGTAAAGCCAAGCCAGCTCTTATAGAGCACTTTCAACCCAGGACAAGTGGTTTTCTGTGTTTCTGTCACACTTTTACAGTAAGGCCATTCACTACTCAGAACCAAGAAGATAACAAGGCACGCTTATTTAATAGTCTCTGTTTGCTCTTCTATTTTGTTCAGTCATTAAACGGTGTTGGAATTGAGAATTAGGACTCTCTTTCCTCGCCAAATGAAAACACAAGTGACTTGTTGACTACAAGATTTACTCTCACAGATACTTCCAGAGTAATATGAAATCCAGGCCAAGTATCCACTGAACAGAGCCGGTGGCATATGCCCCAGCCTTTTTTTTTTTCCCTGAATGCAGGCTCCACGGCTACCACTGCATGCCCAGGACATCATAAATCACTTCTAATTTATGAAGCGCCCAGCCAGTCGTGTGCTACACCCTGCTAGCTGCTGGTGTCTGTCCTCTGCACACTATGGGCTCCCTTCTTCAGTGCATACAGAGCCTTTTTTCAGAAGATCCATAGGACAGAAAGCCGAGAATTTTCCCTTAGACCTTCTCAGCCAAAGAGTAAAGGAGAGAGAAGACAGAAAGCTCTTGTTCCTTAAAGTTTTCCACAAGCCACCCTTGCTTTCTCCGAAATGGGGAGGTTGGGAAGGGACAGAAAGTAAGACCGTTATAGTCCCTAGCCTATTCTCTTTTATTCACTTATTTAACAGATACACGTATATTCAGGGTGCCAGTAACCTGCATACGAGTCACTACTGGAGACACAGCAGTAAGCAGAGTTTTGGTTCTCTGAGATTATACTTATACATGTCAGGGGATGACACATTTTGCAAGGAAATAAGGTGGATAAAGATGAGAAGGGGAGGTAGTAATTCAGATATACCTTGAAAGGTTTCTAATAAGGGGACCTTTGAGCAGAACTTGAAGGCCATGATGGAGTGAGTCAAGCTGGGGAGATAGTTTCTTGGTAAAGACAGAGGCCACCATGCAGAGGCATGCCTGGGGAAAGAGGGGACAGCAGGGACTGGAGGAACTAGAGTGAAATAGCCAGGAAGGGGTGGTTGGGAGACAGGCAGGTGGGAGAGGGGACATCCTCAGGAGGCTGCCTTAGTGACCCATGCTGAGGAGTTGAGATGCTGTTCAAACTGAGATGGAGAGCAGCTGGGAGTCTGGGGAAGACTGATCCTTTTCCAACTCTTGAGAAACGGGAGTGTAAGCTTGAAGTCAGGAACATGGGGATCATGCTTCCTTCACTTTCAGAGAGAATCCAAATTAGTGTTGTCGTAATCAGGATCGAAATGTCAAAGCATTAATTCACCCAGTGCAGAATAAGATACAGAAACCATGATTCTGCTTGATCCCAATATAAGAATCGCTCATGCTTTTTCAATTAGGAGAGAAGAGAGAAACCCTGAGCCATTTATTTACTCAACAGGTGAGGGTCCTTTTCCTGGAGAGAGACTGCTACTACCTCTAGTGACCTGCAGTCCTCAACTCTCTTCCCTGGCAATATTTTGTTTATGTTACAGCTGTGGGGACCCCCACTCATATTATTAAGGCAGCTGCGCAGATTGGGATGAGCTTCAGAGTCAAACAGCAGCTGCTGCAATTCCTAGGACCACAAACAACTTCTAAATAGTCTAGAGCTACCAAAAAAAAAAAAAAAAACCTACGTTTGATTAATGTGCAGAAGTTACAGAGAATTGAGACTTGGATGTCTCATGAGGAACAACTCCCTAAAAATGAGGGTGATCGATAACTGAACTGGACATTGAGGGAAAGTGAGCATCCTGCCCCTGGAGGTTTGAGAGCAGGTGAGCACACGTCAGAAACGTTCCTGAGATGCCCCTGTCTTCTGAGGCACGTTGAACTAGAATGACCTCCCAGATTCGTTCCAATGTAGAACCCGTCAAAGTGCCCAGTGAATGTGCTCTGCAAACACACAGACACTATATAAACACAGGGCAAATATTTTAAAAGGTGAAGAATGAGATACTTGTACTTCAGTGAGAGCAGGGGTTGGAATTTTGTGCCCAACAACATACCTTCCAGGCTCAGTGGGCTCCAGTTTGTTCTCATTGGCCCTGTACACAGTTATCTGCATTATGTGTTAAAAATGCTTTCAGCCAGAGACCAAACAAATAGCCAACGGCATTTTCCTATCAGGGCCTGTTTATAGGAGGTAGAGCAGAAGAACAAAGCTGTTGCTTTTGATTGTTGGCAGAAAGCCAACCAACGCTGCTGCTTCAAAGCTCCAGGATTTATATAGAAAAAAAAAAAAGGGAGGATTTTCTTTTTCTTTCTTTCTTTTTTTTTTTTTTTTATAAAGCAAAGATTAAGTTAGAATTAAAGCAAGAGAAAACCCAAAATTCAAACTAAAAAATCCTCTGGGATCCATAACAGAAAGGCAGAAATGTAAACAAAATACATTCCAGGCTATGAGATGAGTTTTTGGTGTAAGAATGAAAGTTTTCTATGGTGCCCATAGCAGAGATTACAGAATGGCCTTCATCCATGATACAAGCTCACATGATATCTAAGCTGGACGATTTGTCCTTAGTGGTCATTGACTCTTGTCCCTTGTTTTACAGATCATGAATTAGAGGCCCTGGAAATTGAAGTGACTTCCCAAGGTCACCCAACTTGTTGCAGGAGTTCTGGGACTAGCATCCAGAACTTCTGATAACTGCATTGTGTTTCAGGCGATTTTACTGACTTTACTGAGCAGAGACTGGATGAAGATAAGAAAGACAGCAAGAGTGGCTGCCTTTGGAATTGGCAGTGTGTTAGTGTTGCCAGAATGTGACTGACCCTAGGACCAGCAGCACATGCTGCTGCAGTTGCCACCCCTAGCCACAAGTTTAGGGCAGAACAGCTGGGAGGTTGTGGCCCATCCCAGGAATGGGGGCTGAGACACCTGTTGCAGGAGGTCTCTAGAATCGTGCCGCCCTCAGATCCCAGGCGAGCCTGAATGGGCGTGGGCAATCTTTGGAAGGCTGCAGTGTCTGGGGTTCTTCTAAACTACCTGCAAAATCTCAGCAATGCTCCACCTGTCATTGTGGGTGCTGTTGTGTGGCTTCCTGCACTGAGAAGCGTTCTCTCCTTTTAGACAAGAGTCTGAGCAAATTGAAACTGCATTTAAACAGCAGCACTCTTTGTATCAGAAAGAGAGCCAGTGGAAGAATCCCTCGCCTCCTGCCCTATTAACTTTGTCCTTTGAAATCATCAACCTTTGAGTGAGCTGTGGTTACTTGCTTCTGGAAGAGAGGGTGGGGAACCGGGTGGGTGAGTAACCTAAAGGAAGAGAGGGGAAGCTTTCATGTATGTCTCCTCGAAAATCAGGTGCTCATTGGCATTCTTTTTATTCTATCCAAAATATGTTGACAGAACTTACAATAAAGAGCATAGACACTATACATATAAATGAAGTCAGAGAGCCGGGAAGGAGAAAACATGAATTGGCATGTGAACCAGGGGTAAATCTCAAGTTCTATCAGAACTTTCTAGAAACCAGGATAAAAAAGAAACACACAATTGCCAGCTATCAGAAAGGGGAACAAATCCAATTTCTTCAAGAGAGACTAAGTGTTGCTATTCTGGGGCTCATGCCATTAGTAAACACTGAGGGAGACTTTCATGTACTTGATACTAAGCTCTCTGCTCGGGGCATGTCTGCCCTCCCCTCTCTCCCATCAGTGTCCTTGCTTCAGGCCACCTGGAGCACAGGAGAAAACATGTTTTTAGTGTATCACATGCTCTTTTTGTGTTTGTCAAGGCAAGTCTGAGGGTAATGGACTTTAGTTTGCCTTTGGTTCAGCTGAAATTGTGTTGCCAGAGTAGTTCTGGGATTTGCAGATTGTAAAACCAGGAATGGGAATATTATGGAAGTCAGAAGTCAAGGCTTCCTGGGCTGCCCAGTCTCTCCCAACATACCTTTCTTTCTCCTCAAAGTGTCCTGGACCCCTTACCTTGCCCTTCTCTGCTGTGACAAGTTACTTTTTTGAACAAAGCATCTGGAGGGAATAGAGTTTTTGAGGACATATTTCAGGGGGAAGTTGACTCAGGATTGGTAGGTAACGTGACTTTGTCCCTGAAACCAGGATAGGGAGCTAATGGTTCCATAGACACTGTAGGGTACAGAAACCAAAATTATGCACATACAAGCACTATGGATGTCCTGCCCCCATGACCTTGAGCTCTATTCCAAAGTTGTGCCAGGAATACAGATCCCTTCCAAAAGATGGAAGACTTGGTGTTATGACCGTGTCCCCTCATGTGCCTGTGAAAGCTGCCAATGCTTAACACCCTTCTCTACCTTCCTAAGACTTGGGTTAGTCATACCAGAAGCCTCTGGAATTTGTGAATATGGGAGTGTAAAGAGTTACAAAAATGCAAATCGCTGAACTTTTATCACAGATCGTATGAGAGAAAACTCTAGAAAAGTCTTCCCTTCTCACTGGGGTTCTGATGAGTTACCTGAATGTCTACTGGGAGTTTGTGGTTTGTTGTTTTTCAAAGCAAACATAGGTATCCTCTTCATAACTATATATCCATAAAAGCACATGTGTTGAAACGACTCATTATTAAAAGAAACAATTTCAAAGCACAAAGTGGCCTCTATCTCTGTAGTTGGTATGGAATATTGTGTCTGGATCCTTAGCCACAGATTACCATTTGAAAGACCAGGGTTGGTGGCTGAGCTAATGATCATCATGTGGAGTCATTTGTCCTTGTCCTAAGTTGGTTCAGCTCCATTCACACCTTTTGTGGGGCTGGGGTTGAAGCCCTCATAGGAACAGAATGAGTGTATTCAATTCTACTTGGAATGATGTTCATAATTATTTTAAGCAATGACTTGATTCTTACTTGTGCTTATTCTTTTCAAAAGTATTAGAGAGGAAGATATCCACAAGACAAAGTAGAGAGGAGCTGATAAGAAGGGGCGTGCTTAAGGAGTTGCCTGATCAAGGTGAGGACATTAACCATACCTTTAAAATAACTGATCCTTCATCCTTTGGTCCTTCTTTCATAGTCTCTTGAAATTTAAAATGATCGTGCTCTGTGTCAGATAAAGCAGTAAGTAATGCTGCAAGAGTCTGCTCTGATTTGGAATGCCTTTGTGGGCAGCAGAGAATCTGAGGTAGTATAGAAAAGAAATCCAGTGACTTTTTTAGTGAATACTTCACTGCAGGTCACTCTGAACCCAAAACTCTGCCCAGGTGCATCAGTGGCTCGGGATGCAGATAACAATGCAATGCTTGCATGACTCCTTCTCTTCTCTGTTCTTGAACTTGAGACTTTCTCTCAAGTTAAACTCGATTGCTTGAGACAATGCAGTTTTAGCTTCTTCATGCCTTATTTGTTTCTTAGGATTATCAATAAAAGAAGAGATAGCACACATGCCTCTTGTTTTTTTACTCCTTGTGATATGTTCAAATGTGCAATCAATAAGGCATGAATGGGCAAATTCACCTGCTTTATCCTTTCTTTCAAGTAATTTTTTCAGTATTGTTCTCTTTTCATTTCTAGTTGCCTCTCACCTTGTCGCTAACAATGCTATTTCCAGTTTTTGGGTTTTTTCCCCTTTTCTTTTAACCTTCTTTCTGTTTTTCCTCTATCCTCCCAAAGAGGAATCATGCTTCAAAAAAGTTAAGGATTAGCTAGAACTGAGTTTGACTCTATAAGAGAAGACACCAGCATTGGTGATTTCCCCAAATAATTCATACTGAGTGACTCTCTTTATTCCCACTACTAGTAAAACTGGAAGACATTTGCTGCAACTTTGTTGAATTATTTCTTACCTCCCCCTTCTCTTGGAGAGGCAGAGTATTATCAATGAACTTTTATGGGAACAAATAACATGATATTTATTTGGAATCAAAATAATAGTATTTCTCTTTTTTCCTGATAAATGTTCCTTTGCAAAGAACTTAACATTTTTTAGCATTTGCTATTTACAAATATAAATGACATATTTTTTCCAACATCTGAATAATTCCAAAACGGAGCTGGGAAATGCTTTACTGTTTTACTCCTCCTCTTAAAAAAAGAAAAAAAAAAGTGGTGGTGGTGGGGAATCAGGAGTGAATAGCTCCATTTTTACTAAGCCCTCACAATTTGGATATTTTATTTCAATTTCTGACCTGTCAAACTTTTCTCACTCTATAAATGAACTTTATGTCTTCCCCAATTTTCTGTTACCTTGAAGCTATTTATTTCCTGTCTGGGACTTTTAAAAATAATAATTTAAAAAAAATGCACATCCTTAGCTTTTTTAATTTGAAGGTAGACACACAATATCAAAATTCATGTCATGTCCAGCCCCTCTGCAGCCAGTAGAGTAATTCAGTGGCCACAGAGAGCTGCAGACTGACCATCAGAGTTACAGATTGACTATGAACTTGGTATTTTTTATTTGAAAATATTTTTTTAAAAGGCTTTAATTTTTTTCCAATTAAAAATTGTAGGAAGAAAAGATTTTGCCTTTTCATCAATCTAGAAGCAATGGTCAATTTAAAGAAATGCTTAGTACTCTTGGTTTTATTCTGCCTAATCTGTTAAAAGATTTGCAGCACAGGTTAAAAGTTCTTGGATTAACATGCACTTATTTCCCAGAAATCTGACTCTATTCGACCTTTTTTTCACATGTAAATATTGCTGAATATTAGAAGTTTTGAAATATCAATGAACGAGACAACTTTTAACCTAAACATAAGAAACTTACTGAATTTTGTTTCCCATCTTTTGCCGGGTCCCTGTATAGAACTATAAAAATTATCTAATATTTGAAAGTTCCCAGGGGTGCCCCATCAGAAATACAGCTCTTCCCCCTTTCAGTCAAAGGCTGGAGAAAAGAGTTTTCTGTCATTTTCCTAAAAACAATTATATTGAGAATTTCAGTCTGAGAAACTAGAAGCTGCGTTTCTGGTGACAGCCTCCTTGCCTCAGCCCATGAAGATTCATTCTTGGCCTTGATCTTCTTGACCTTCCCATAGCTCTTGACAGTGCCTGTCAATTATGCCTTTTATTACACGGGCCAGCTAGACTTTTCAGGTCCCTCCAGCTGCCCTGGGTGTGACCCTGTCCCATCCTGTCCCATACCTCACTCTCAGCTATTATTATTATTCCCTTTAGATTGTCTTACTTTACACCAAGTTATAACTTCACTCTGAAAGTTCAACAGTTAATCTCCTCTCCTGAGAAGCCTGTGTGTGGTCTAGTCCAGGTTCAGTCCCTAACTCTGGTTCTTTCCTTCCATCATTTCCTTACCTGTAACATGAGGGCACTTTTGCCATCCTCCTTTCCTCTCTGCCGGTGTGGCTTCCCCCTGGTGATGAGCCACCTACCTTTGCTCATACATGATTCCCTTCTCCTGTTCCTCCTTTAACTCTACCTGCTATGCCCCTGTTTACCAGAAAGCGGTAAACCTCTTCAGACACTCTTACGCTCTTATTGAACGATTGGTTTCTGTTTATGCTTTATGACTCTTTTTGCTTAAAGCTCAGTGATGTTTCTGAGTTCTGGTTCCTTTGCATATGAACGCCCCAGCTTCTCAACCTCTGCTTGCCTCAGCATCGCCCAGCCCCTTCCTTGGCTTAGCTAAGAGACAGGCTCCATGTCAAGGATTTCATTTTATTTTAATGCTGAAACGACTTTTGTAAGACACAGCACTAGAAAAGCTTTTCAGTCCGCGCACTAATGGATTAGTATCTTCAGTTCTTTTCTGTTTTAGTCTTCAGTTCCATATTTATTGCAACCATGTCTCTTTTTTTAAAAAGTTATTTTTATATGCACTAGTTGTATTTTATGCCTCAAAGTAAGTATCTTCCCATGTTGTTGACTATTTCCATCACGTGATAATCCAATTTCTTCATATGACAAACCTAATTTTCTCTCTAGTTTTTTTTGTTCTAAATTTTTTCAATAATCAGTTATTTAACCTATTGAAGAGTATTCATATAATTGCTTAAAATTGTCATTAACGTGATTTTAATGTCTATTTATTACCAACTAAAGTCAAGGAATACACACATAAATTTATTTGATTTTTTTAAAGTTTTTTTTTAAATCTGAAGATTTTTTTAATTTTTAAATTTTTTTAGGTGTAGGTAGATGCAATGCCTTTATTTTACTTATTTACTTAATTTATGTGGTGCTGAGGATCGAACCCAGTGCCTCACATGCGCTAGGCAAGTGCTCTATCACTAAGTCATAATTGCAGCCTAATCTGAAGATTTTTTATACAAAGAAGTGGTTTTATATTGTACTTGAAATTGTCTATCCCTAACCCCTTTAGTATTTTTTTATATTTTTATATATTATATAATATATATTTTTATTTTTGTTTTCATGTTAATTTAAATTTGGTTTTTAAATTTTTTATTTTTAAATTTTATATCTCATTGGAATTGTCTATCCCTAACCCCTTTAGTATTTTTTTTATATTTTTATATATTATATAATATATATTTTTATTTTTGTTTTCATGTTAATTTAAATTTGGTTTTTAAATTTTTTATTTTTAAATTTTATATCTCATTGGAATTGTCTATCCCCAGCCCTTTTTATACTTTATTTTGAGACAGAGTCTCACTAAGTTACTTAGAGCCTCACTAAGTTGCTGAGGCTGGCTTTGAACCTGCCATCCATCCTTCAGCCTCAGCCTCCGGATCCCCTGGGATTACAGGCATGTTCCACTGCCCCTGGCTAAAATTGTCTATTCTTACATCATTTTAATTTTATCTGGGCATATTGTAACCCACCCTCTTCTTTTATAGCTAATTGCTTACCTTAATTTTATTGAAATAGGATTTACTGGCAGTGGCATTTCCTTTAATGATTGTCTATTTTAGTTTTATGCAGAAATTAGATTATAGGTTCTTAGTAGTTTACTTGACTAAACAACAGTCGCTTTTCATTTTGAGCATGACATAATTCCACGATATTTATTTTTTACTGGTCATGCCTTTTTTTTTTTTTGTTAAGAAGGCCAATGAATTTAATTGTTGAATCAAAGCAAAGAAAATTTGGGAAATGTTTTCTGTTTTATAATAACTGTGAAAATAAAATTAATAAACAACTGCATAAAACCACCTCTAATCACGCATTTCTTCAACTTTACCGTATCAAACTTTAATTCACTGATTTTTATTTTACAATGATAGTGCCATTTTTCCATAGATGGAGTAAGGGTAATCTTTCAAGCATCACTAATTAGAAGTTTCTACAAGATCCCTTTTACTTTAGAAAAGCTCAGGAATTATCGAAGTCCAAGGATTAAAATTAGTTATTTATGATTTAGATAATACATTGGACATTTTATTATAAGCTATGATTTTAGAAAATTCTGTGTAATTGGTTTTTTCCAATGTATATTTTTCCGACTAATGTTTTCTAGTTATTATTAGGCTACCTTATGGACTTTTGGATAATTCTATAGAGCAATCGCCTGAGTACATTTTAATCTTTCCTTAAATAAGACAATGAAAATAAACTTAGCTGTGCTATCATTGTCCCCTGAACACAGAGTGGCAGATACATTACTGTGTGAAGTTAATATGCCGCATATGTAATACATCCTGCAGACAGTGGTGCTTGGAAACTTTCCTGTTCCACCTCTAATTGTTTGTATGTGTAATTACATTTCATGTTATTTGTGTATTTGCATACACCTTGTGTTTTTGGTGCATGTTAAAATGTTTATTTCATTTTTCAGATCATTCCTTTCACCATTCAGTTTCTGGATGACAAAGAAAAACACATAAATATTGACTTCAACAAAACCTAAGCACAAGAACACAGGAACTCTACTGCCCTGGGGTATTGTGCAATTAGGATAATCAGTCCCACTGCCTTGAAATGGCACGTGAATTTTCCCTCCTTAGCTGCTTTCTCTCAAGACTAAGGATTTTCTAGCTCTTTCATTGTAGATAAATTATTTAATGAAACGGTGATTCGGCTCCAGGGATAGAAAACACGAACTCAGATCCTACTATCCTGGTAACTGGGAAGCTGGATTTTAAGAAAGCCATCAAGTTAGACATCTAGGTGTTTCTTTCCCATTTTAGATGGAGATGTAACAGTTAACTTTGAAAATTCAAATGGGCACATGATACCCATCGGAGAGGAATCTACCCGAGAGGAGAATGTAGGGAAGTCTGAAGAAGGTAATGGCTCTGTATCTGAGAAATCACCACCTCGGGAGGAAAAGGCAGAAGATAAGAAAGGTAAAATAAAGAGAAAAACCCGTATTATTTCCTTTAGTATGATTTCCTTTAACTCAATGTCAAGAAGCAGGTCTCAGGCTCCAAATAGTGACCTAAAACCAGTGGTCCACAAAGAGGAAGTCTGAAATATAAAGAAGAGAGAAATGATAATTAGGGGACAAGAAGTAGGGTAATATCCTCAGGTGGATGCTTCCATTTCATAAGGCATTGTTTGTTTTTTTAATTATTAAAGAGGATCAATTAATAATCAGAAAGGGTGGCCTCTTCAAGCATTAGGATGTCTGAGAATATTCTCCTTTTTAAAGATTTTTTTCTTTAGGATCTTAAAAAAAAAAAAAAATGAGATATTGGAACATCTTTCTCACCTGGTTTTAACTGGGCCCTGTGAAGAGCTCCGCATGGAGGAACACCAAAACCCGAATGGCCCCCTCGAGCTGGCACTCCCTCTCCAAGAGTGGGACTTAGTAGGTGGCATCAGTAGAGCCAATGTTGTAGGTTCTAGACATTTCTAAGAGAAACTCAGGAATGGTCCCCAGAAAACTGATTATTGCAGTCTCTGCTTTGTGATTGATCTGTGCAAATACAATTTCAAAATGTGCTAGAGGCAATGATACTATTCCCCTGAAGTCTTCTTTAGAGGCCTTGGTTTCTAGAGTGGAATCTGCTGTGTTGATTACAGATATCTATGACATGCATATCTATCGCGCACCCCCAGAACCTTCACAAATTCCTCGTTGTGGATTGATTACATCTCGAAACCAATGCTATTCCATGCAAGAGCCCCCACACGGCAGACTTAGACAAACCTTGAGCTGAACATCCCCACAAGGAGAGATTTTACTGGGAGAGACCAAATGATTCCCTGTGGCACAGAAAGGAATTCTCAGGAAACAGACTATTTTCTGTTCTGTAAGGTCTACCTCTGCATTGAACAGCCGAAACTTGACAAAACCTCATTTGCATTCTATAGACATTTTGAGTATTCCTAGAAATTGATGAGAGTGAACGTCTTTTCCTCTGTTTTTGACTCAAATTGTCCAAAGACAAAAGGAATAGAAGGGCTTTTGATGGCTTTATTAAACAGACCAGGTAGCTTGACACCATCTTCTCCGGAAGTCCACAACCACTTTATTTGCACATACATTAGTCTTTTTAACAAGCTTTAAAAGCCTCTGTTAATGATCTATTGGAAATTTATTATTTTGCTTTCTTCAAATCTGAAGCATAGTATTCCTGGGGCTTTACTTGCTCAATGGAAGAACTCCAGTTGTGTTTATGAGCACTGGCTATAAGAAATTAAGACTTTCAACGATAACACTTCTGGAACATAAAGATAAAGTAGACTTAAAATGGAAAGGAATTTAGTTTATTCATGCAAGTATTGATTTTGTTGGTTTGTTGTTAAGTCCAGTTGTCCCATCTCACCAAACTGTTAAATTTCCAATTCATCTGTGCTTTCTCCCTGGTCCATACGGGTGTCAGTGTCATTCACTGACTGGCCAGACTTCAAAGGAAGTGTTTTCCTTATCAACCTAATAAAAAGTTGCTGACAGATTTATGCTAGTTAAACCAGCAGGCCTTGATGTTCTAAAAAAATGACAGATCATAGTTCCAGGAATGGTGGAGAGATGTTTTTGTTTTCTTATTCTTTACTTTAAATTAGTACATTCTGTTCTTTCTGGTCAATAAGGTCCAGGTTAGCATCTTGCTTGGCTAGTTGGTACATAAGGAGGTGGACATGCCAGCTGCCGGCATGGCACTCTAAGACTACAGAGTGAATCCGCTGTGTTGGTTACAGATGTCTGTGACATGCATGATATCTGCCGTGCTGATAATGAAGAGAAGTGTTAGATATGGAAGCCACTTCCTGAGACTCAAATGAATGTCACTCTAAATTAATATTTTGTGAGAATTATGTGAAGTAGAAAGTGTCTTAAGACAAAGACAAGATTTTATTTCTCTAGAAAGATACCATTAATTCTGAAAACCAACTGGATTCACTTATGCCTCCGCCCCTCTTTTGGAGTTTCTCTTTGTGTGAGCTCACTACCACACAAACCCTCCATCCCATGAGCTAACTCCTCCTCACTGTTGGGATGCAGTGTTCACTCTCCTCCGGTGTTATGCCCGCTCACTCAAGAGCATTGCTTCATTTATTAACTAGTTGTGTCTGCAAAAACATATCACATGCCTTTAAAATCCTAGATGTTTATTGCATCTTTTTAGAAAACAATATCTCAATACTTTAATATTTGAAGCCTCAATAACAAAGAAAGCAAAGCAGGTTCTACTAAGCCATGTGAGTGTATCTGGGGCTGTTGAAGCCACCTGATTCTATAGTTGGAACAGTGGTGTTAGGCCTCCTTTCCCTGAGGCTGGAGTCTTCATCTTTAAGGTCTTTGGGTTAAACACAACATAGTGTGAGAAACCTGAAAATTGTTTAACATTATTCCTATTGACTTACTGTAAAGGGCTTTATATATCTTCTTCACTAAGAACATATAAAAAGAATAATGAAGATGAGACTGTGTGGGCCAGCAAAAGGTCAGTATATGAAAAATGGCCTTTGCCCTCCAGCTGATCATGATACAAGAGGAGAGCAGACTGCACACAGGTAATTGCAAAACAAGATACAAAGAACCCTGAAAGGCCCCAGTCCACCAAGACAGGGGAGTAGAGACCAAGGCGGCTTCTCTGAGGTACAAACTTACCTTCCACAGTAAGACCCCAAGGAGTCAGGAAGGGGGTGAAGGAAAGGAATTGGAGCCAAAATGCATTCTAGGCCAGGTGCAGAGCACACCCAGTTCTGGGCCTGCTCTAAGTGTGGTTGAACTCAGCTTTCCACGTGCCTGCAGCTTATCTTTTAGACTGTGTTGTTGTGAAACCTCATGCCCTCATGAAGCCAGAGTGAGCAGGCAGCCCTTTATTAACCTCCTGAAAAGATAATACTCCCGAACTCCATCAGTTTACACAGTGTCTTCAGATCCTATGGTAATCCTAAAACACACAACTTAATTCATTACCTCCCACATGCAAGAATCTGTTTGCTATTGATGGCGTGACAGCAACGATCAGCTTGTTAGTCACATTTATTGAACTGATGATTTTTAGGGCATTGTGTTTGATGGGATACAGAATTTCAGAAAAGAGACTTTTTTTTCATTTAGTCAGAAAAATATACTATTGTGAGTGCATGTCACACACACATACACACAACTAGGAGTTACCAGAGTGGCAGACACTCACTGATGACGATACACTTCAAAGAATAGAGCGTGGTCCATGTTTTCCAAGAAGCCAGCACAGAGTTTGTGTGCAGCGTGTTCCTTTTTTCCCCAGTGGGGACATTACTGACTGCCACACAGCAAGCATCTCTTGCCTCCCAAATGCAAAAGCCGAATTCCTTGGAGAATTTTATTTTATTTGTGGTGCTGGGAATTGAACCCAGGGCCTCACATGTGCTAAGCACATGCTCTACCACTGAGCTACACCCCCAGCCCATCATTGGGGTATAATTTTAGAATTTAAAACCTTAAACCGAAAGAAAAAGATCCCTCAGTGATATGCCATGACTGGAAAGGTTAAGATGCAGGGCTTTGAGTGTGAAAAAAGGACTAATGATACCAAATGCCGCAGATCGGTTTGCTCTTCCCACCGCCAATAATATTGGGTTTGGCCTCCACGCTTGGTATTGTGCTCAGGGCTAAAATTGCAAAGACATACTTAAAGAATAGATTTCTGCCCTTTGTCAAAAGACTGGCAAGTCGACGTATATTTTCTATTTTACATTCACATTCAGTGTGTTACCCGCGTATACACTTGTATCATTCTCCAATCCAGTGAGCTTTTGTGACTAACTGACCTTGTGGTTCAGACCAGGCTGGAGTGGAGGGAGGACACTGTATTATAAATGATGAGCAGCTTAGTTGACGAAGTGGCCTCTGCTGAATGTTGAATGAGTCGCTCCTATAGTGAGGCTGAATAAGTACGGTGGCAGGAGAGATTGGCAGGGGAGGATTTCATGGCTGAGGCAAGATAAAATGGAGCTTTAAAAGAAAGGTCTTATCGATAAGTTTCTGTAACTTAAATCATTCTCATGGGGGATATATAGGTGACTCCGTGAAAGATATGGTTTAAAAAAAAAACACTCACTAGAATAAGAAACGAGGAAGAAAATGGACTTTGTAAAATGTAACATGTGCCAGCATTAAAATCCTTACTTGGTCAATCAAAAATGGGAAGACATATCCAGGAAAGGCTGAGTCTTGTCTTAACGCACTGTCTTGTGTTTTTTATTGTGCTCCATTTTTAAAGAAATGCTGCTTGGTTCTTTGGACCAGAACTGTATTTTAATTTCAATTGGTCACTACTAAAAGTCTACATGTGACTAAATGAATAAAAGCCTCAGCATCTCCACTTTTGCTAACAAGAAACTGATAATATTTCTCCTCCAGTTGTGTAAAACCTTGTGGAGGCTTCTGTTCTTAGGTATGAATTCTTTCTGTGAATTGTAACAGTTGTCTTTTCCAAATCATTGTTTATGTTTATAATACAGAGCAAAGTTCATATTTTTTGGATTCTGCACTCAGGTACCTACAGCTGTGGCATTAAGTTAAAAGGGCAGAGCAAGTTATTGCAGAACAGGAAGCTTCCTCAGTATGCTGGGAAAGCTTGAGAACATCTTCACAGTGGAAAATCGTTCATCGTTCCACGCACTGTGCACCATGTCATAGATCCTTCGGTCTACCATAGCTTAGGAAATCAGCAACATTTTATTGCACTTCTACCAAGCACAAATCCCTTTTAGCTTGATCAGGCTTGAGTTCTCAAAGATAGCCAGTAGTTGCTGCTGCTGTCAATCAATCCTCATCTGCAGGACAGTGTGTGTAATATGCTCACCTGTCACTATTGAGGGTCCTTCAATTTTGCTAAGTTGTTCAATTTGTTGAAGTTAGCACTCAGTGTCCACGTCCTCATCCAGAACCACAGATCCAAGACTGGAATTGGGGCATCTGTCTTGTGGACATTTACACTCCTTCTCAACATACCTTTATCCCAGTAACTTATGTCTCATAGTTTTATCAAAGGAGTGGTTGATGTATGCAGAGAACACATCTCCGTTTGTCCTTCAGCCTTTGTTTTTAAACCAAACTTTGCTCTCCCTGGTGCAGAGCTCCACCTGGTTCCCAAGGGCCAAGCAGCTGTGTGTGTGTGTATCCCTGTCGCCATGTCTTGCTCCTTGTATTTATATGGTGTATGTCTGCATCAGTCTGCTCTGTTCACTTTCATTTATAGAGAACACTGAAAACCACTCTGAAACACCGGCAGCTTCTGCTCCACCTCCTTCAGCTCCTCCTAAGCCTAAACCCAAACCTAAACCCCCCAAATCACCTGTGCCTCCCAAAGGGGCCACTGCTGGGGCCAGACACAAAGGTGACGAAGTGCCTCCCATTAAAAAAAATGCCAAGGCTCCTGGTAAGCAGGTCCCCGTCCCTCCACCCAAGCCAGCAAGCCGAAACACGACCCGAGAGGCTGGTGAGTATGCCCTCAGTGCACTGTGGGGTGGAGTCCAGGATGCCTGGCTCTGGGATGGGGCTAATTGTTTCTTCCAGAAGTGATGGTTTGGGGGTTTCTCAGGATGTTATACCAGTGGATTCAGCTCTGGCACAAAGACTGCTCAAGAGTGTTGTTTGTAGCAAAGACAACAAGTTGATTAGTTCTCCCTTTTAGGATCTGGGTAAATATGCCTCATTCATCTTGGTATCCACTATCATCATATGAGGCCCAGTCCAAGAATTCAGGGAGTAGGATACGTGTCCAATGAGTGATGATGAGCTGATAAGACATTATTTAGGTATTGACTGATCTTGTGCCTATTAAAGTTGATGGGTGGCTTTTGGTTAGAGTTTTCTTCCAAAATATGTCAGGTTTGCATATAAGAATATGACATACATCTTTAATGTTTGATGGATGTGTTAAATCCTCAGCATTCGTGGTCATTTCTCTTCTGATAAAGAACAAATGGCCCATATAGTTGGTTAGGCTCCTGCCCACTTCTTTCTACTCCAGTTAAAAATCACATCTGTGGAGTTGCAAGTTACAGGCTCAGCGCTCCCTGCTCCCCCACCCCTCCACCCTCCCCCACCCCAGTCAGTAGACCTCAGTTCCTTGTGAGGCAAGCACCTTGGTGTGGCATTGTTTCAAGTTGCTATCACACTTCGCCAGCAGACGTTTGGGTGCCCTGACTTCCTTCTCTTTGTGCACTCTTTGTCCAGCTTTCTTTTCACTGAACATGCTTCCTGCAAAGGGAGCTCCCATTCTTCTAGTGAAACAGAATTAAGATGCCTACCATGTGGTCTAGCTTTTAAAGGGACATTAATTGAAGTGCACATGCCCCGAGAACATCAACATGTAAATGAAAATTCTCCTGTACAATCTCTTTTTCCTTAAAACCAGCAGCAGCTTTCTAGCAATCGACTGCTGCATATGCCGTGGTGTCGATCTCTTTCCCCTCCTAATTTATACCCCCTGAACTCAAATTCAGAGACTGGCTGAGTTGACTGTATAACAGCTCTGGGTTCCTCTCTTCTCGCCTTTGACCCTAAGGTCTGGGTGTCTTCTAATCAGCTCTGAAACGAAACAGCTCAGAACCATGTGCCAACAGTGCGTAAGGGCCATTTCCCAGGGGTCTGGACGTCAGTGTTGATGCTTGTTGGTGTCAGTGTGTTTTTTCCCAGGCTGCCTCGTGAAGCCTCGGAACTGTGCCTGGAGTCGGGTGGGCACTGGTCAATCTCCTGAAGAAAAGCTCCACACTCTCATTCTGCCTTTGGGAATGAAGAGTCTGATTCCCCACTTCCTCATTTTCCTTATGGTGAGGGTTCACTGTGGCTGGGACTCTCAGAAGGAAGCCCATGATGAATGCAAGGGCAGGGGACAGCTTTCGTGACAGATTTGAAGTTATTTCCAGATATTTTACTTGAAGATTTATTTATAGACTCATGAGGTCCCTATGAGAATAGTACAGTCATTTTATCCATTGAATCATATATAAGACGGGCAGGCCCTTATACCAATAAGAATGTGACTGTTCCCAGGGCTGTCACAGAGAAACGGTGTGCACTGAAGGACACTAAGGCCATGTGCAAAGATCCGTCTATCAATCAGTAATAATACTTCTTCAGAGTCATAGGATATTCAGGGTGTATCCATTGGAATTTTCTGCCTGGTAACTTTGTTTTATTTAAATAATATTGACCTCAAAAAGTCAGTTCAAACATGCAGCTCTTAATTAAAAAAAAAAAACAAAACTGGGGATTGAACTCAGGGACACCCAACCACTCAGCCACATCCCCAGCCTTATTTTGTATTTCATTTAGAGACAGCATCTCACTGAGTTGCTTAGCACTTTGCCTTTTCTAAGGCTGGATTTAGAACTCACAATCCTCCTGACTCAGCCTCCTCAGCCATTGGATTACAGGCTTGTACTCCAGGCCTGGCATAGCTCTTGATTTTCATTCAGATGTTTTCAGTTCTTAAATCATACAGCCACCTATCAATATAGATGGTTCAGCTGCTTTACCACGAAAGTGAAGATAAAGCTCCCTTTTTTGTTTCTCATTGTTACACACGATTAGCAACAAAAGTTATTAACTGAAAGATGGTACTTCTTTTTCAATCATAGTTGATTTCAGCAAAGTCCTGTCGTTTACAAGCTTCTTAAAGAAAAACATAATATGGCCTGAATTTGCACTCCAGATGTTGAAAATTTTTTTTCCATGAAAAAAACTTTTAACAGGCTAAAGTTAAACTTTTCTGTTAGAAATGAAAGAATTTTTCCCAGAAATATGACTAGAAGTGATATTCTTAGAATTTATTTGGAAGGGATTATGCTGAACTTACCTGAGAAAATAATTGAGCATTTTTAGGCACCAAATCCTTAGTGTCTTTGTTGCAAGAAAAAAATAAAAGTTAGAATGAGCTTAAGGAGGCTTGATTGATTTGACTTATAAACAATAAAAGTTTTTAACTATAAAGATGTAATAACAAGTCCAGATTTGGTGGAGTTCTAGCTATTCTGTATTTCTAAAATAATAAAGACCTCAACTGAAGAGACTCCTTTGAAGCCTGGATCTTTTCACTAGCGGAGCCTGGCTTCTTTGGCATATCAAAGTTAATAAAGTCTTACATCTCGTCGTCTGTTTCTTTATTTGTTCTTCATCTCTTGACTTTAATGAAGTTATAACCACAGGTAGGTTAAATAACATCTGTATGCAATATGGATTGTCTGCACAATCCTAACAAGACATTTTTTAATACTTCTGCAAAAGATAATTTAACCTCTCGTGAGAAAAAAAAAGGAAGAAGCAGTCAGGAGAAATTATAGTTCATTAAAGCAGTGAAACGAATATTCTCAAAGGAGTTTAAGTAAACTTCCTAAGATGACAGAAAGGAGAGGGTAGTTATTTTGTTTTCTTGAAAATGATTTGGCAAACACGACAACCCTTTGAAGACCTGCTTGGAACTTAGGCCATGAGAAGAATTAGATTTGTGAAAGTTGGGGTCGGAAGTTCTGGAAAGAGTCAGGCATAGTGGTGTGCATCTCTAGTCCCAGTTACCTGGGAGGTTGAGGCAGGAGGATTGATTGAGCCTAGAAATTCAAGGCCAGCCTGGGCAACATAGCAAGATCTCATCACAAAAACAAACAGAAGTTCTGGGAGTGATATTTTCCCTTCAATATTTATTTATTCATTGGTTCCAGGGATTGAACCCAGGGGTGCTTAGCCACTGAGTCACATCCCCAGCCTGTTTTTAATTTTTTTTTTTTTGAGACAGCATCTCACTAACTTGCTAAGGGCCTCACTAAGTTGCTGAGGCTGACTTTGAACTTGTGATCTCCTGCCTCTCAAGCTGCTGGGATTACAGGTGTGCACCACCATGCCTGGCTCTCTTCATATTATTCAGACATTACCTATGTAAATATTTTTGGTAAAAAGCACAATGAAATACATTTTTCCTGTCTCATGATGATTTGAAGGGGACCTGTCCCTCATGTGTGGCTGTGTGTTTTCACCCCCACCCTCATCACTACCGCAAAATGAAAGTGTAAGCCAGCATGGCTAGCTTCCTTCCCTGGAGCTAGGGGACAGCTGATTTGGAGTTTGCTCTGTTAGCAGTGGGATGAGTGAATTTGTTTTTGGACCCCAAAAGAAACGTAGCATATACCCCAACTCCTTCTGAATATGGACCTCTGCTCCATTTCCAGAAAGACATCACAGGACACAGGTAATTTATGAAGAGCCCAACTGTGTGCCACCTGTAGCTCACTGCTGGTGGCTGCCTCTTTGCATCAAGATATTTCTTCTTCAGGACCTACAATAGTTTTTTTTCTAGGTGATGCATACGACAAGGAAGAGAGGGTTTCCCCTTTGCTCCAGCTAAAGACTCAAAGGGAGAGGAGATTGAAGGCCCCTGTCCCTTAATTCTGCCCCAAATGTCAATGGTGCTGACCTGCCTGTCTCTACCTCCTAGTTAGAGGCAGAGAGGGTACAGAGGACAAGAACACTATCATTACTAGCTAGTTTTCTTTCCTCCATTTATCCAGCAGATTTTAAGTAGAGCATTTTAAACGTCATTAACAATTCCAGCTTGGTCACTTTATCTAAAAAGCTTTGTCTTCTTTGATTTTTAATGCAAAAATTTCTCTACTTTAGCTGGTTCTTCTCATTCAAAAAAATCAACTGGCTCCAAAGCATCAGCCTCACCATCTACTTCATCCACCTCTTCTCGTCCCAAAACTTCTAAGGAGACAGTTAGTAGCAAAACAGGGACAGTGGGGACCGCAAAGGGCAAGAAAAAAGCTGGCAAGCAGCCGGTGACTCCTCGACTGTCCTCAGATACCACCGCTAGTACATGTGACCTTACAGGAGAGCCTTCGGAGACTGCAGTGGAGAGTGCCACACCTGAGCAGACTGGCCCTGGGGCAGAGGAGCAGACCGTAGGCAAATCCAAGCCTGCAGTTCCTCCGCTCCCGGTGGCTTCTCCACCCTCCCCGCCCGCCCCTCCTCTGTTTCTTGAAGATCAGTGCATTGTTGCCTCCGATACTCCAGTTGTCCTGGTCAGCAGTGGCGCTGACCTGCCTGTCTCTGCCTTAGACCCGAGTCAGCTCCTTTGGACTCAAGAGCCGACCAACAGAACCACTCTCCACTCGGGCGCTGGTTTAAGTGTTGGCCGAGAAAATGCAAAATGGTAAGTCCGGGTGCCAACCCCCATGATGCATCTGAATGTTAAACATCAGTCAAGAAGTCAGGAATGACGGTGCACACCCGTAATCCCAGAGGCTCTGGAAGCTGAGGCAGGAGGATCATGAGTTCAAATAGAGCCTCAGCAACTTAGTGAGACCCTAAGCAACTTTGTGAGACCCTGTCTCTAAATAAAATATAAAAAGGGCTGGAGATGAGGCTCAGTGGATAAGTACCCCTGGGTTTTATCCCAAGTACCAAGAAAGAAAGAAAGAAAAGATCGGTGAAGTATTGTGTGAGAATGGAGGAGCCCTCCCTCTGTCATGTACTCTGGTGAACATTAGGTGAGCTCACTTTTGGCCACTGGTTTTTCTTAACCCTGCCCTGGGAATGCCATGAGCTGTGGAGACAATCACATTGATAATGGTGACAAACACCAATTCTGTGATTTTCAAATGCATTCAGAGCACAGCTCGGCAGCCTTTTTTCTTGTCCCTAGACAGTTCCCTCCTCTTTTCTATGCTTATTTTAAATCTTTCTCACTTGGGTCCAGATTGCTCACCCACTCCTGCCCACCTTCATTTAGTTAAGTTATGTAGCCTTATTCTCTAAGAAAACTAAGACTGTCAGGAAAGAACTCTTTAAAATTCCAACTCGTTTTCTCCCAACTGTAGAGTGGCCCCCATCCTTACTCACTTACCTCCCCACCCAGCTGAGATTTCATCTCCTCTGTGAAGCTTTCCAATGCTTCTAGACAGAAGTGCTTGTTGCATTTTCCATACTCAGAAACCCCTCTTTCCCAACAGGAGGGACAGAACAAGCTAACATCTTATGTACCTCTCTGTCCCCAGCAGGCAGTATAGAGTGGAGTGTTCTGTGGGCACTAGGAATGTTTACTGATTTTTTAATAAAAATGAAGAAGTGGGCTAAGGAGATTGGTTATAGGGAACATCAGCCTACTCCAGTATGGTGGAGTAGTGTCAAAGATGAGATGGCCCTGAGGCTAGAGTTGATAAACAGATGATAACATAAGTTAAAAAGTCCAGTAGTCTTTCCTTCACTGAGGAAGGTTACCATGCAAACAGGCCAATGGACATAAGCCTTGGTGGATTAGTGGCCCCACCATTATCTAGTCGCACAAGCCAGAAACCTGGGGTTCAGCCTAGGCCCTCAGGATCCTTTCTTTATTCCTTACATCTGATCACTCACAAAGTCCTGTAAATATTCTACTCAAAGGTAAGTAAAACAGTTTATCCCTCCTGTCCCACAGGTCGGAAGAGAGGGCTATCAGTGTGTAGCTGATTCAATCATCAATTCTGTCTAGGGAAGGCTCAGAACTCTCATGTCTAATATCTTCTTTTCAGTTTCTAAGAATAAAACCTATAATCAGTTTTAAAATGTTTTAATAGGGTCTCTTTCAAAAGAAAATCTTTGTCATGTTAGACTATTTAAAAAATTACTGCATTAATTAGGTTGGTTTTGGTCAAGCCACCAAAGTATCAACTTTATTTAATTGCTGATAGTAATGATTTTCATTTTACTGAATTCTTAATGTCAGGAACTAAGCACTCTATATTTATCATCATTTAATTCCTGTAAATCTTCCCTGAAGTATTTATTTCATATTTTATCTATAAGAATATTGATATTGAGAGAAGTAAACTAGTTTGCCCAGGATTGCCCAGTTAACAGTGGCAAAGCCAGAATACAAACGTAGTACTGCCCACCAAATTCTAGGCTTTGAAGAATTTCACAAGTTTTCCAAAATAGTTGCTTTTCCTTCTACTGCTATTTCTTTCCTAATATATTCTTATTTCTTTATTTTCATCATTTTGTATAGTGTAATTTGAAGGAAAGATAAATAAAGGTCCAATTACAAATTATTTATCTGATATTTTAAAGCAATACAGGGAAGATATGGAAAGGAAATGAAATGGTTATGGTTAGTGTGTTTTGGGCTACTATAACAGAATACCTGAGATGGGGTAGTTTATAATGAACAGAAATGTATTGATTCTCAGCCTAGAGGCTGGAAATTTCAAGATCAAGTTTCCAACATTTGGCAAGGGCCTTCTCTCTGCCTCATTACATGGCAGAAGGTGGAAGGTCAAGCGCTCAAGAGCAAACCCTCTCCCTCAAGCCATTTTTGTAATGGTAATAATCTCTTCATTGGGGCTTTGTCCTTAAGATTCAGGTACCCCCCCCATGAGACCTTATCTTCCAATGCTGTCATCTACAGGGTTAAATTTTTAAGATATGAATTCTGGGGGACCCATTCAAACCAGAGAAGTGTTCTTAATAGTTCCAGCACATAGCAAATGACTTCCTTTAATTGTAGTGAGTGGTTTTTTTTTAAAAACATTGCTGTTATTTCCAACCTTAATACTGAACTTTATTCTTTCAGCATAGTTTTGGTTGGTCTTCTCTGTGTAGGCAATGTACTAAGCACCAGACATATAAAAGTGACCCAAACATGAGTAATTTTTATCAAAATATTGACTAGTGAGCCCAGGGAGTATAAATATTTCACACAACTTCTGAATTTTGGAAAATAGATTGAACATATACCTTAAAATACTGAAGAACAAGATATAAATCATATAAAATCTCCTTAGATAGTCTTAAGCATTCAGAAAGCCCATTTCCAAGAGTGACCTGACTTCCAGATCATTTTCACAAACATTTCGGGAGTGCACTTAACTGTACTGAGCTCTGTACTACGTGCCAGAGTTTAACATCTGTATTTAGCCTGAGTATGTGAAGATCTATCACACAAAGGATCAGTTTCTATTTCTCCTAACACTAAATCACAAGGAGCAGACTTAGAGTATCATTAGACATTGAGGATATTTGTAATAGATGTCCTACCCATCAGGGTAACTCTAACAAATTCCTAGAAGAACTCAAAGAGATTTTCTTCTCTATATGTTCTTCAAAGAAAAAAAATTAAATTATAATTCATCCTACAGGGGTGGTTTGTGTTTGCTCTTGAATTAATGAATTTGGAGTAGGTAGTGTCTCAGATTTTCTTCCAAATTCTTCCCGTTTCAAGTGGATATTTGAATTAGAATTTTTGGCTCTTAGTCACCTGCTTTTCTTAGAACTCTCCTTGAGTTATATTTAGTCACCTAATGTGTGAAAATCCTGTCATTTTATGAAAAGACTTCTGTGTGGAATACAAATATCAGAACTTTAAAGAGGGCAAGTGGTATGTATAAAAATACCTCTTTCTATCCCATATTGCAGGGTGCTAACTGTTTGGTAGGTTTCCATTCATTGGCAGCTTCATCAGTAACACACAAGTCTTACATTACATGAAGCAGAAACTAATCAGCCCATTTTGAGGCCTTGTTCAAAGGTGACTTGTTGAGTCCATTCCACATTTGTGGCATGCACTATATTGTCCAGTGTGCCCAGGAATCAAAGGGGAAAAACATGAGCGCTAAGACATGAGTTAATTGACATAGATTAGAAGCATATTTAATGTGAAATATAACTTATAGCATTAATATAATTTTTTTCTTTTGGTTTGGTACTGAGGATTGAACCCAGGGCCACTTTACCACTGAGCAACATCCCCAGCCCTTTTAATTTTTTTATTTTGAAACAGGGTCTCACTAAGTTGTTGTGGTTGGCCTTGAATTTGCAATCTTTCTACCTTAGTTTCCTGAATGGCTGGAATTACAGGCATGCACCATTGTGCCTGGCTAATATAATAATGTAAAATAAAATATAACAATTAATAAATAGATTTAAGAGTCTTTAGTCTGGGTTCTAGCCTGGACTTGCTATCTTGATTAAGGTTCTCACTCATGGCCTTCCTTGGATCCATGAACTGTAAATTACCTGCCCTCCTTATAATGTAGAACACTTGAAAGTTGTAAATATTTCTGAATTACTTGCAAACTACAAAATATATTATAAAATGCAAATGGTGAGATTAAAATAATAATGTCATAATATTAATGTCATAATAGCAAACTCACACACAAACAAATAACAAGGCTCGACTCAGAAACATGTTTTGTTCTGCTGTATCTAGAAGGTGTTATTACATGTATCTTTTAAACATGCTGTGGTCACCTATAGTGGCAGTCTCTGCAAACAAAAATGGCTTCCAGTGGCAATGAACTAAGCATCCAGACTGGGGGAAAGTTTTCCCACAAAAATTAGTCTTCTCTCATTTGAGATGAGACTTCCTGCTGTAGCCAGCAGTATAATGGTTCTTCAAAAAATTAAACATACCATTACACTATAATTCTGCAATTCCCCTTCTGTGTGTAAAGCCAAAAAAATTGAAAGCAGGGAATTGATTTTTTGTACCAGTGTTCCCAGCAGCCTCAGCCAAAACGTGGACACAATCCAGATGTCCATTGACAGATGAACAGATAAACAAAATGTGGTGTATACATTCCATGGCATATCATCCAGCCTTAAGGAGGAAAGGAATTCTGACACATGCTGTGATAGGAAAGAACCTCGCAAATCGAACACAAAAGAACACACACCGTGTAATTTCACTTGTATGAGGTACTTAAAATAGTTGAGTCATGAAGTCACAAAGTGAAATGGTGGTCGCCCAGGGCTGTCAATAGTGGGAATGGGGAGTAATTATCTAATGGATACAGAGTTTCGATCTGGGGAGATGAAAACAGTCTGGAGATGATTACACGATTATTAGGTATGTGTATCGAATGCCACTGAACTGCACACTTAAAAGTGTTTAAAATGGTATGTTTTATGTTATATATATTTTACAGAATAAAAAATTAGATTTCATGTATTTCTTCTTTGAGAACAAGAATTTAGGCTGCTAGATTTTCCTAGTTAAAAATAGAAAAATCTTGGAAGTGCTTAGGTTTATAACCACAAAGTAGAATTTTAAATACCTCATGTTCTGAAAAAGTTTACCTGTATTCGTTATTCAAAGCACTTTTTCTTTGGTTTTTTGTTTTTTTTTTTTTTTTTTTTTTTTTTTTTTAGTCAGTGAGAACAGCAAACACATGTTTTCCACTAAATAGTCTTTCAGAAGTGTGACATCCAAATACAGATTCTTCTATTTATATCAGAAAGCAACTTGGGGAATCTTCTGTATCTTAAAATGACGATTATATTGTTTTTTTGCATGAAATATTTTTGATGTTGAGTATATTTTTTATTCTAGTTTTTAAAAATTTATAAGTTTTATATATTTGTAGTAACTCTTTAAACCAGAGACTCTTACCTCACTAATTAACAGGAAATTATCACTTCCCTGAACATCATCTCTCTTCTGAAGAGTTCATTTAACTTCATATTCTCCATCCGATTATTACTCTAGTCCTGGGAGAAGCAGTTTTACCAATGAAGGAATGAAAGCACAGATAGGATAAAGGATTTTTGAACCCTGACACACTGGCTGGGACGAAAATGAGGTTTATTCACCTATTCATGAAAGAAGATGTACTTTCCTCTACCACTACTCTTCTGGGTGCTGCGGTGCACACAGTTATATGTCCCACTTGTTGAGTGAGGACCATGTGGAGGTGGACTGGGGGTTGGTCCAGGTGCAGTATGCTAAGGTGACTACCTTAAGAGCAGATGAGCAGGGCAAAGAACTCAACAGACCCAGAAAGTTTTTTGAAGATGCTGAGGCTTTAACTGAGACTCACAGGTCAAACAAAGTGCAGACAAAAAGTCAAATAATTGAGGAGCTTCTAGCCCATTATTCTTTGCATTGTGTCACCATTACTATGGAAATATCAATTAGCAAGATATAGTTTTACCTTATTCATTTTTACTCCTCCCCACGCCCCCCCCCCTTGGTATCAGGAATTAAACCCAGGGGTGCCTAACCACTGAGCCACATTCCCATCCTTTTTTTTTTCTTTTCTTTTCTTTTTATAAGACAGAGCATCCTAAGATGCTTAGGGCCTCACTAAGTTGCTGAGGTAGGCTTTGAACTTACCATCCTCTTGCCTCAGCCTCCCAAGTTGCTGATATTATAGGTGTGCACCACCGCACCTGGCTACCTTGTTCATTTACTAATTATTAGACACCATCCGGTGAAGCTGTTTAGTGTTGCAGATGCAGAATGTAAGACCTGGAGAATGGAATAAGCCAGCACTCACTACTCTTCCATGTCAGTGACGTTAGCTGCCCCAGCTCTGTTTCTCCTCTCCCCAGTCTAAAGGAGACCCATGATAGATACTAGAGCTCCTTTCATGGAGTGGGTGGTCCCCAGAGTTGCTCTGAGCTTTGAGTCACCTCTGTGTTTTTTTTTTTGTGCTCTGAACAGTTTTACAACCAAAGACGAGCTGGGGAAGGTGGACACTCAGCTGCTGACCCCTGAGCTGATGGAAGACTTTTCAGAGTCCTTCAGTGCCCCAGAGGACGAAGGCCCAAGGGAGTACCAGGCCAACGACTCCGACTCTGATGGGCCCATCTTGTATACCGATGATGACGAGGAAGAGGATGAGGACGAGGATGGCAGCGGAGAAAGTAAGACTATTTTCAAGAGATAGGGAGGATAGCAGGTAGTAAACATAGTGGCTGTGTGTTGGAATGAGCAAGAACTTGATTAGCAGCCAGACACCCCAAGACTTCACTCCCCTCATCTTCCTTTCTCAAGCTAGAAACATACTTTAGCTGGTGAGGTCCAGCTAAATTTTTAAAAAGACAACAGGGGTGGATCAGGCTTTGATTAATGAAGTAAACATGCATGTTAGTATCTGTATATAAAAAAATTAAAAAGATGCAAAGCTTTCTAATGGCAGAGTCCTTTTTCAGAAAGACCAAGCATGGCCCTTCTACCATGGGACCATTCTTGAAGATAGAGCAGCAAAGCGGGGGATTCACTGGCTGACCCTGGGAGAGTGTTAGAGAATTTCACTCATTTTATGCTGCAGTTTACTGAGAGAGGAGAAAAGAATGGGTCAGGAATGACAAATATCTTTTTTAGAATTAAAAAAAAAAATCACTCATCCACCATAGGTACAACTGTGAACCTTCTAAGAAGAAATGACACCACAGTGGAGCAAAGCCTACCATTTATGTGTTACTTGGAGAAGTGGAATGTGCTGTTTTTTTTATTTCCCCTTAGCTTTTGAGCAGGATGGCTTGAGGGGAATTCACTGTGAAATTTAATTTATAGATTATAAATACTTATTATTCTATTCATGACTAAACAGAAGTGTGTCGAATTCCCTCTAATTTGTACAGGGCAAAAAAAAAAAAAAATTGATACCCACCTGGTGTGAGCTATCATCTGCTGAGATTTTTCAGGGGCCCCTGGGTAACGGAGGGTTAACATATTTGTATAAATGGTAGACTCTGCCAGCATCATGTCTGAGTGGAGGAAGGAAGGAGACAAGGATTAACTGTACAGTATGAGGAGAGGGGATAAGTTTCAAAACTTGAAAAGAAAGAAAAAGCATTGTGCAATCAGTAATTTCCATGATCCACCATATCAGCAAAATAAATTCCAACTATCTCTTTCCAAATAATGAGGTGACATGTCCAAGTTTTTTCATGGTGTCCCAATATTTTTCAGAACATTTAAAAAAAAAGATAGTCTTCAGTTCTTTCAAACTGAACTACATCCAACTCAAAATCCTCTCTTCCTTAGGTTAATTAAGATTCCCCTCTTGCATGTGGATAAAGAATTTGGCCTGCACCCTGTTGAACGCCCACGCCACATGCAACCTGAGTGCTCCAGGCTAAAACGCACTTTATCTGCATCTCTGCTCTTTTTCAATCAATCCTCAGGTGCTTTGGCGAGTAAGATACGACGAAGGGACACTCTTGCCATCAAACTTGGCAACAGGCCATCCAAGAAAGAACTAGAAGACAAAAACATCCTGCAGCGCACATCTGAAGAAGAGAGACAGGAACTCCGACATCAGATCGGAACCAAGCTCGTCAGGTAGTGGCCCAGGTCCTTATGCAGCTGGAACTGGCTCATGCTGGTCTTCCTCCCTGAGTTTCTTACCTGACTGGGACCATTGTGGCTTTCTTGTGTACAGGCACACTTGGCCCTCAGGCCTTGGCAAGTTGGTCTTGGAGAGCAAACCACTCAGAACCTGCCTTTTAGTTAGCCAGTCAGTGGCTTTGAGGTCATCAACCATAACTCTGAGGACCAGTTAGTGAATATTTTAGTCTCTGCTGGGCAGACGGTCTGTGTTGTAGCTACTCAACTGTGCTATTGTAATAGGAAAGCAGACATTTAAAAAAAAACAAAAACATATAAATGAATGAGAGGGAACATGTTTCAAAAAAACTTGATTGACTAAATAAGGTGGCCCACAGGACTGGGCCTGTGGACCACAGTTTGCCCAATCCTGGCCTACTCCATGGATGCACTGGCATTTCTGAGTGTCCTGAGGTTCTGCCCCGTGTGCTGTGAGACTGTAGCAATGTTAGCCTGGATGTCCTGGCTTCATCTAGGTTGAGTAACCATTGCCCCCACGTCTCAACTTCCCCCTTTTAACTCCCAATAAGTGGGTCGTCTGCTATCTCTTTCTGCCTCCTGCCATTGTGTAGGACTTCCACTTTTGCCACTAGTGACTTTAGAAGTCCATTTACCTGGCAGTTTTAATTCCAGCCAATGCTCTCATTTTTTATTCTGTTGAAGCACATTTAAGAGCTGACTTCTGTCCCTCTGCGTACCTATCAGGGTGCATAGGGAGGAGAAGGGAACCATCTGGAATACCAGAGCAGGGTTTGGAGGTGGGAGGAAGCTGCTGTCCTGGCTTGGAAGTGGACCCTGCAGCACTGGAGAGCTGGTATGGGGTCTTCTGGAGGCCACGGGCTGTTGCTCTGCGAGATCTTGCTGTGGTAAGACACAGAGAATTTCAGAGGCAGCTGTGGTGCCCACCTGAAGGAAAGGCGCAGCCTCCCAGGGAATCTCAGAAGAGGCCTGAAGGTCCCTCTGCTCTGAGACACTTCCCGACCTCTAGGACTTTGGAAGCCATTCAGAGTAGTTTACTGATCGATGTTCTGTTTCTCACTCTAGTCTTTTCATTTCAACCGTAAACTTTGACCATTTCCTACTTCAGGAAAGAGCTAGCCAAGCTAAAAGAAACTAAAGGGATCTGCAGCATCAAGCAGGACAGACTTTACCTTCAGACTTGTCATCTTACTGAGTAAACACAGGGGCCTCTCTGAGGCCTGGGAGATTAAGGAAATTTCTGAAAGAGTTGCAGTTATTTGGTAGCAGGACAAGGGTTAGAATTTCTGTTCCTCAGTTCTCTGCCCAATCTGCTTTCTTATATATACTCTCCTATTTTGTACTTGTTGCACCATGTAAAAGAATATGCTTCTAGATTTTCGGAGTGTTTGTTTTATTGCCTTTGTTTATGTTTGGCCATACAGAAGAATTTAAAGAACAATATTTGCATGTAAGAATAATGCAAACTCATGCATATTCCTTAAAAATAAAAAATATCATGACAGCTTATCATAGTAAGGGGTAAGAAAGTGAAATATTATATGCTCATCTCAGTAAGCATCTGAAAATTTTAAAATTTTAAAGATAATTTTGTGTTGTAAATCCTAAATAAATCAGAAGTATAGGGTTTTTTTCCCAAATTATTGCTCAATATTTTAGTATATGGAGAAACTATAAAATTATTTTCTTTAAAAATAGAAGCAAACAAAAAGTCCCTGCTCTTCTTATACTACAAGACTAGTGACAATCATTTCTAATGTAATGAAAGTTTAAATTATAAGAAGTACTGTTATACTTCATTATATACCTATAAAACTGAAAAACTACCAAAACTTTTTTACATGCTAATTTCAACAAGTTCACAGATGTAAGATTAACTGTGAAAATCAACGTTATATCTGTATTATTATTGACACATAGCAAGAGAATCAAATGAATAAGGAAAATTACACTCACAATAGTAGCAACAAAGTACATTTTAAATACTCAGCTACTCATTTAACCTGAGGCCCCCCAAAAAATCTTCCTCCAGAAAATCATAATGGAAGGAATTAATAAATGGAAAGAGAAAGAGTAAACATTTTTATCAGTGAGGAAAATTTAGTGGACTGGTTGATCAGGAGTGTGGGTGGCATGAAGTACCACAGGACTTTATTTATCACCTGAGGATTGATAAAGTACATGTACTTGACAGAATCAGGACATCAATAAAGTATTCGTTCCACAAAATGAAACCAAACAGGAATAAATGTCACCTCTCCCGACGTGGGCCAAAGAAAAATCATCTACAGAGACAAGATGAGGTGTCCTCCACTCAGGTTTTGGAAGATGTTCAAGGCTGTGATAAACTTAATAAGAACCATTGTGAGATGTGTCTGCTCAAATCAGTGTGTGGGCTGGGGAGGCAGCCAGTGGTAAAGCACTTGGCTAGTGTGCAGAAGGCCCTGGGTTTGATCCCCAACATAAAAAATAAAAGAAAGGAAAAGGAATAAATACCAGGGTGTGGACGTATTTAGAACTTATTTTAAAATACTTTCAGAAACTCAGTATGGAAAACAAGGAAAGAGCCCCTGCTTGGATCCACTCCTAAAACAAGTGACTATCCCGGGAGCTTGCAAGGATTTAGATAAAATGATACACTTAAGGCTCTTTAGTGCCTGGATCAGTAAGGGCTCAACAGAATTTAATGTTTCTCATTATAAACTTAAATTATTATACATCTATTAAACTAGTAAAGCACATTTAAAACTAAACTCAATGTTGGAAAGTTTATAGAGAAATAGGACACAGGTACATTCTTGCTCAGTATTTTTGAAGAATGGTTTCACAGTATGATAAGAGAATTATAAGTCAGTCTAATTTCTTTGCATGGTAATTCTATTTGGAGATATATATAAAAAGGAAATATTCCAGAAGGATTTTTTAAAACCATGTTTATAAAGATACTTCTTACAAGCTTACTTATATAGCAATGAGAAAACAAACCAAATGCTCAAAAATGAAGGACTGATAAAAAAATATTGTGAAAAATTGACCCCATGCAATCCCATAGGGCATCGTTTCATTAAGGATTCCTGGAGGTATGGGAGCCTGGGAATGGAGGTGTGTATTTGTGGTGGATGGGCGAAAGCTTCCCATCCCAGGTCTAGTCATCCAATGGAGACGGTACCTCTTGCTTTTGTGAATTAGAACTCACTACAACCCCCAAAATTCAAAAGCCTTTGTAAACAAACACAAAGACTGTATGTATACAAACTTTTAGTGGAGTAGAATGTTTGCCATTATTAAGATGTAAATTTTACAGAATTGTTTTCCAACACACACAGCACATCTAATCCCTGTCATTCAAAGATAACTCACCCACAGGTCCAGCCTTAGGAAACAGACATCAAAGCCAAAGGCCACAGATGGGAATCGTGACTCTAGTGTTCACTAGGCAAGTTAATTAATACCTCATTTCCTCATCTATAACGTAGGAGCTGGCTGCTACCTTGCTAAATCGTTGTGAGGACTCTTAATAGTACACGTTAAGCACCTAGCACAATACCTGGGACTTTAAAAGTTTGAATAAAAGGTAGCTGTGATTGTCTTTATGATTTACTGTTTTCATGGATGTATAGTCTTGAGTAACCATTGTGTGGGGGGAAAGAATCAGGAAGGTTTAATTCTTACAGGACAGGACAAACACCTACCTTCAGGAGACTGATTTAACCATTTGCAGGGTTTTAGTAGCTGGAGAAGGAAAGAAAGGCATTGGTGAAGGAGGAAACAAGCTTAAGTACAAGAGGGGTGATACAGGTGTGATTGGATACAGAGCCCAATATACTGGTAGCACAGGACACATGGGTAGGAGGGGAGCATGAAATATAGTGCAGTGATGTCCCCTGGGTTCTTTTGTGGGTTCAGCTACTCAACTTAGTTTCAAGGTAGCTCTGATAAAGATTAATTTTTAACAAAAATTTTAATCACACATTTAAAATGTCACTAATCTCATTTATTCATCGTCTTTCTATGAGAGTCATAACATTTCAAATTAGTCATATATTATAGTAAAATTACCTTTCAAGTATATTAGTCTAAGTTGTACAAACTTAACCTACATCCTGAGGAAGTTTTTTCCTTACTAACAACAAATTAATCATAGGAATAAGACTGAGAACAAGGGATTTATGAGGATATACTGCTCTCATGTACAAATAGATAACTCCTAATCCCAAATGAGCCTTGGTTATCTTAAAGGCAGACAATATATCTTGAAGATTACATTATATGTAAATATTCATTTGAGGTCCCGGAAGCAGCATTTCACTTAAACCCCTGTGCAGCATAGATTAAGTGATTTCTAAATGGGCATGAACTCTTGAGCAGCAGCTAATTTTTAGACTTGAATGACCGCATGTTAATTAGGCTGTCAGCTAAACTCTTGTGGGAGATCAAAACGTACAGTGGTTCTAACAAGGCTTCACCTAACTGTCCAGAGGTGGCCGGCCACGCATCATGGCTGGGAATCATGGCTCCCAAAGACTAGCACCCAGATTCATTCTGTTTCATTGATCTCCTGTCCCCTTGGACAGTTTCCTCTGCATGCTCAAAGCTGGATTACGCCACCATGTTTTAAATTCTGTCCTGTAGAAGAGGGAAAGAGAAAGAAGGGAACACATTCAGTCATTTTAAGGGTAAAAAGAAAAACTTACAGACATCATCCAGCTCACACTCCATAGCAGAATTCAACACTCCACGGCAGAATTCAAATCACATCCCCACACTTGGCTGCAGTCCAGGAGACTGAGGTCTGCAGCCAGGTACCCAGCTAAAACTTAGGAAGTTCTGTTACTCAGAGGAAGACAGAATGGATAATGGGGGTAGTTATCAGTGTCAGCCACAATCTGGGGTCTGTGAACGGGTGAAAGGGACAGCTTTATTTCATAGCTGTGAAAAATGGAATTTTTTAAACGAACCACACCATTATGTATAACTATAAGTCCTAATAAAAGCATAACAGAATGGATTTTTTATTTCTCAACTAGTGATAAAAACAATCTAGCTTTGTTTCATGTTGCATCTCCATTAAAGGAACCTCGTTTGTAACCTGTAGTGTATTCTTCTTGTCATCTAGGAGACTCAGCCAGAGGCCCACAACTGAAGAATTAGAGCAAAGAAATATCTTAAGACGTGAGTATCCTCTGCTGTTCAGAAATTCCTTGTGTACTCGTTCTTTAGACCATCCACTTGCAGGGAGGCAACCATCACATATTAGTTTACTAACAACTGACTGGACAGTCTATTTATGTCCCATCTCTATGTAGCTGTTCATGTATTTAAGAAATAATATTTTAATTTTACGTTTCCTTTGATGGCATTGAGTCTGAGAGCCTACAGGCTGGAATCGTGGCAATAACAATTGTTTTTAAGAAAGATGGAATATATTCCTTATATTCTTCCCACCAGATATTAAGTGGAAGAAGTGCTGTAGTGCACTGGCAAATAACTGTCAAAGAAAAGGCCAAAGAATCCACAAGGAAATGAATCAAGCCTTCCCATCTTACCATTAATAATATACATTGTTGCTAGGCTTAACAAATTACTTAATTTAAAACAAAATTTTGGTCAGAGGACTTTTGCAGTGCATTTCATTTTCCTTTGTTGTGATAACTAACTCTGCTTCCCTCTTGAGATATTTATAGTTTCTTGGCCCTTAAAGAGTTCTTCATTCATTTTCCTACTTTATTTTTCCATTTTATTTTTCTTTCTAGTCTTTTTGACAGGATAGTATATGGAACTCTAATAGAAACGAGGTTTGTGCTGCCCTTGTGTATCGATGTGCTTACTAACTTCAGAGAGGTCAGAAATGGATATTTTTAAATGGAGCCTAGATGCAGTTTTATTTACCAACTACAGTTTTTAAAAGCTTTTTATTGTATGAAGTATCAAAGAACAGGGATAGATAGAACTCCGGATAGTAGTGCAATAGTAATGAGCTGCTGGTGAGAGAAAGAGCCTTTTCAACCAGGCTTACAGAGTTCTCTTGGCTTGCTGGATGACCTATACTCTCCAGCCTAAGTTATTTTCTTTTCTGAAGGAAAGATTTTTTTGTAGCATATTTATACTACAGTTGCCATAGCTAAAGCAACCCAACAATAAAGATGTAATATAAGAGAACTACATCCTCCGGTCTATGGGAACTTTTTCTTATGATGCTTTTCTTCTGGTTGTTTGTAAGCATAACTGGAATAGAACCCAAGAAAGGATATAAGTGCCTATCAGTGTATAGAAGTGTTAGTCTGAAAGAAGAAAAAAAAATATGGCTAGAAATGGGTAAATTTCGGGCTGGGGTTGTGGCTGAGTGGTAGAGCACTTGCTTCGCGTGGTTGAGGCACTGGATTTGATCCTCAGCACCACATAAAAATAAACAAATAAAATGAAGGTATTGTGTGTATATGTGTGTGTGTGTGTGTATGTGTGTGTGTGTTAAAAAAAGAAAGAAAAGGATAAATTTGTGTTTTGACCTTTTGGAAGAATGATGAAAACAACATCTAATTTTGACAAAGAAACAAAATCCCAAAGCTTCACTGTTTTCAATAATAGGTTCCTGGGAAGCATTTGTTGAATCAAGTTTTAAATAAACTCAAATTTTGCAGACTGTAAGCTCCTAAAACCCAGAGATTAGGTCTCCCTGGATGCCTGATGCAATACCTAGAAAAGAAAAAAAAAAAAGAAAGGCCAAGAAAATTCTGGGTAATTCTTTCCTGCTCCTGTGAGACTACTGTGCCAAACCACACTGAAGTTTGGTTATTTGAGGAACTGTTTCATGGATCCGGAAATTTATTGCATGTTGATCTTAAGTGCTGTGTTGGCTTAGTACCCTCTGTTTTCCTGGAGGTTCGGGAAAGAGTGAAACACCAAAGTCAACTTCAGATTTGACTCCAGCTCTTTTTGCTTCCTTCTAAGTTCGTGTTGATTCTGGAAACAAAAGGCACATTTCCAGTCTGGAGAGGCTGATAACTGGCTCATGATCTCCTGACACAGGATGCTGTGGCCAAGGGAAGCAGACAAGAACTGGTAGAAGTTCTGTTCACCAGTTTTCCCAAGCTTTCCACTGTAATCACGGGGACTGAATGGCTTCATTTGCAAAACACTCTGCTCAGCCCATTGCTTCTGGGTTCTTCCACACTGTGTGCTCTTGTTTGTATGTTTTACCCCCGGTTTTCACCTCCAGCAACAATGACCATCTGTTCCAAGAAAAATCTATGTGTGATGTGGTATTGTTTTTAAGACACATATTTTAACTAGGTGATCTTTTCATGACAGAGTAGGAAACTAATTCATAAAACATTCAACATTTCTCAGATCAGAAACCATCACTGCTCTAATAAGCAGGAGTGAGCTGACAGTAAATGCTGATAGCTTTCATCAGAGTCCACAGGACAAGTTATGTTCTATTTCTTAGGGTCATGTCCCATTTCACTCCTTCCTTGATTTCTGTCCACCCACTGATCCAGCTACATACATACATATACACATTTATATGCCATATATATTACGTATACCAAATTTTTATGTGTACTTTCATTTGTTCAAAATACTCCCATGGAAGCATGTATAAAGCAAAAAGAGGAAAAAACAACAACAAAAAATGTGGCTTTTTTTTTTTTTAGCTCATTTTGTCTGAATTAATGACTCAAGAATATAACAATACTCCAGTTGCTGGTATTTCTGTACTTTTCTTTCTTCTTTTCTTAGCTCATCCATAAAATGCTCAGGCAACTCCCACTAGCCAGGCAGTTTCCGTAGTGCCCACTGCTCTTAGACCCCAGGCATTGTTTGTGTGTTGATGGGAAATGTTTCCTGCGGCTGTCTGAAGGGTGCGCCCCTCTGCTCTGATGAGAGGTACTGAGAGCAGGATTTATCAATAAGCCCCATCACTTCCTTCATGAATTCCCCTCTGTTTGTTTAAAGTGACCAGGAAAGTTTACATTTTGCTCTACAATTAGTCCTCTGATGAATCAAAGAGTGAAGGAAACATGCAAAAAACATGATGACTTTTTAAATACCAAGCTTAAGGCTTAACCCTGACTCTTTGCAAGAGATTTTACAGTGACTCTTCAATAAGATGCAGAAGAATGATCTAGTTGGCTTCCCTCCACCTCACCCGCTTCCTCTAATTTCTTTAGAAGTACAATTTCCAACGTGGGAAACGTAAGGAAGCCAGTTCCTGATGTCAGAAAAGAATTCCCAGATGGTAAAATCCTGTTTACTTAATTCCCCAACTGCAACTGGCTTTCTTAAAAAAAAAAAAAAAAAAAAAAATCACTGGCTGTCACCTAGTGGTACAATGGCCTTAACTAATATTCCCTTCCAAGAAATGTCATTTTATGTATTAAATGAAAATTACAGTATATTAGCTTTGAGATGTATTAGATTTAAAAAAAAAGCCTTTGAAAAGTACCTTAAAAAAATATAGCATAAGGACTGGGTAGGAAGAGTTGACTAAAATGTCCTAAGGGTTATATTTTTCTTTTTATTAATAATATTATCAAAGCTCTTACCTTGTAAAACTCTGGTTTCAATCACATAAATCACAAGTTTGTCATTTGTCTATTATGTATAATTGATAGTCCACAAACTTTATCCAATTCATATAAGGTAATCACTTGAACCTATGTTATATTGTAAGAGTAAGTATACATGCTTTACTTCATTATGAAAAACCTACAGTGTATTCATGGTAAAGAAATTAAACTGTAATCAAACTTGTTTGGTACTTATAGGCACTTTATGCATTTTTTGTCCTGTGCGTGATTTCAGTTATATTCAGTTATACTGTCTAAATCACCAGACTGATCATCTTTTTTCTTACAAATTAGTATTTCAGAAGAATGTAGAAACTTTTTCCTATCTAAAGGAGGAAAATTCATAGATATACCCTGTTTAGATTGGGGGTATAGCTCAGTGGGTAGAGTACTTGCCTCTCATGCACAAGGCTCTGGGTTCAATC